TACCTCAAAAGCTCATGATTGCTGTCAGTGTAGTCAGTAGGTGATCATTAGGTACAGGCAGTGTGCGCACTGATTCTGATGAGGAATGTCTTCTCTTCTTAACTGCTCGGGGTCCCGAGCAATCAATGCTGGGTCATCGGGATGCCGACGGTACAATGTACTCCTCTCGGGGAGGATGCAATAAATGCTCTGTATTAGGAGCATTTATTGTCTTTCATTTCCGAGCCTTACCGCATTGAATGCGGTCTCATCAAGGGAATGGTGTAATTAATCGTTTGCTTTCCCAAGTCGCGTGTCAGCAACGACATGCGGTTTCTCTGTCTTCGATGTGATATCATACGCCACGCGTCCATCCCCCATTGGTTGTGGCCCCTGCATTCCAGTACGTTCTGACACTAATTGTGTAAGACGAGGTCATGATGAATAGCCTAGACTAGCCTAGGCTAATGACCTGTACGTCAATAGTTTATCCTGGAGTAGAGGAAGCGTCCAGGACGGGGTACCTCTTGGCACCGAGGAAAGGCCATCTCGGAACCGAGGGAGGTATACCGACTGAGGTACCATATCAGACCAAGGCTACGTGTTGGTTGTAACTCGTACTGAATGCCATGATCCTATATGACGAGTACCTCGGGGGCGAGGACCGTTATGCGCCGATGGTGCTTGATCTTAGCAACAGTGTTTTGGTAAATACCGAGGACACGTGTCTTCATCATGGAGTATTTCAGAAAAGTCCCATCATTATATATCTCGATTTTTGTATAAAAAAATATCCATTAAGTTGTGTAAAAGTAAAAATAGAACCAGAAGTGGCCAATGGGCTAAGCCTAGGATAGGAAGCTTTAGCCTGCGGCAATCCCATGGTCACCTCGGGTGACCATTGCGTGACTGTTATATATTAGTGGTAACCTTGTGGTCCTTATCAATCGAGAGTTTAAGGTACTAGATCATCATTGCGGCGTTGGGGGTGATAATAAGATGTATTTAAACTTACATTGACATGGTTTCAAAAGGAAATAAAAAAACCCTTATCTCTCCGGCATTCGAAAAGGCTGTTTTGGTGATGTGAATTGGTAAGATTGAGGTTATAATGAAATAATCCAAGCACTATGGTCGAGTGAGGTGGTTTAGTAAGGCATCGACTAAAATTTTCACTTGAAAGTTTAGCGTTCAAGCCTTGTAGTTAGATTGAGGTTCAATGATTGATCGCTACATTAGTCTAACTAAGTTTATTCTCGAGAGTAGTAACGGACACAATTAAGAACCCCATAATTCCACCAGTAAAGACTTGTTAAGATAGTTTATGAGTGTTCTCCTTTATTAGAAAAAAAACAAATCTTGTCACTAAATTAATGTCCAAAATTATAGTTCTAAACGTAAACCCTGCTTGTGTCTTTCATAATAAGTAATGCTACATGAATTTAAAAATTAGATTTTAAAATTAGACTTAATAATTACAATCATTGATTTCATTGTGGATTCTAACATTTATTAAGTTCCACTACCTATTCAATTATTGTGATTATTAAATTTAACTTTTAAGTCTAATTTTTAAATCCATGTTCAATAGAGGCCGCCTCCTAGGACTCCCAAACAAATAGCAATATTTGAGGTCCCAAATTTTTTTTTAAGATGCAATTAAAATAATTTTAGGGTCCCAATTTTAACTCGTCTTATAATTTTATATTCAATCTAAGAACCAATAAAAAATTTATATGATGCTAATGAGTTTGAGTCCAACCTTAATAGATTTGGAAGATAAATGAAAGAAATTATTTGGCCCCTCAAATCATTAAATTGACATGAATCTAACGAAACGCGACACAAACTTGTTAAATTATACATAATTATAAATAGGACGGACATATATTAAACACATTTTGACACGATACGATCGAATTATTATTCTTTTACTATTTTTATTTTTTTAGTCTTACTTTATTTTATGTAAATACTGAAAAAAAATGATAAAATTGTGTTTCACAAATTTTTTACCAAATCTTATATCCCAAGTGATGTGTCAAAATCTCATACATTGAATATTTGGTAGAGTTAGTGGACTCCACTAATCTAACCACCTACATTGATTTGAGATGCAAAATTTGAGCAACAATTTAATCAACATAGCATTGCTCCTGAAAAAATAAGTTGTCTCCTCACGCAATACTTTTAATTTATTACAATCAAAGTTAAGTAGTTGATTAATTATTTATCACCTAATTTTTTTTATAAATTATAACTTATTCTTAACTTAAATTCGAAATCTTTTCTTATTCGAATCTTTTTTTTGCTCAATTATTTTTTTAAATACACAAGAAACACACATAGAATGGCAATATATATATTGAATTTGAGAAGTTTACTATTCAAAATTCTTGTTGTCATTTTTTTTTTTGAAAAATAATTTAGTTTTATTAATAAATTTCAATTTTTTTCTCTATATTTTCAACTAATTGCAGATTTAATTATATTATAATCTCTAAATTTAAGTTCAATTAATGAATTTTTTATAACTAAAACTTGAATACAAAACTAGTGGTTTTACCTCTCAAATACAAGAAAATAATTTTTAAATGAATACATTAATAGTTTAATATTTATTTTTTGGTATTTATTTATATAATAAAGTATAATACAATTCAAATTTTAAAAGATAAACAAAATGACTTTTATTTTTCGCAGTTGAAATCTATTTAAATTTTACTTTAAAATTAATCCGATTATTAATATTAACATACCAAATTTAATGGAGAAATAGGTCTTTAAAGATGTGTTTGAGATAATTTTTTAAAAGTGTTTCTAAAACTTATAATTTTTCATAAATACTTTAAAAAAAATAGTGTTTACAACTACCCCCACACACCACCATCACCATTACCACCACTACTAGTGTCGTCGCCACCACACCACCACATCTGCCACAACAACAACCACCACCACCATTATAACCCAGCTACCACCTCTTCCACAACAACCACCACCATCGCCCCACCAACATCTCGTTGCCGCCAGCCACCACACCACTACCGTTGCCGCCACACCATCACTGTCGCTGTCGCTATCGCCACCACATTACCACATCTGCCACAACAACCACCACCACTATTGTCACTGTCGCCACCCCTTATGACCATCACAACTACCACCACCCCCATCACCTCACCAGTGCCCCACCACCACTGTCCCCACTACCACCACAACCATCGTTATTGCCACCTTACCACCACCCCAAGTATCCCACCACCATTATCACCTCCCTCACCCCCCACCACTACCATTACCATTGCCACCCACGGTTATCACCATTATAACCGGTCATCATCACCCATCATAACTATCACCGTTTTCCACCACCACCATCACAGCCACCGTTCGCCCCTACTATCACTCCCACCCACCACCATAATCACCATTCGTCTCTACTACAATCGGTGCTTAAATTCATATATATTTCCTCTATTTTTGTAATTTGTTTTTGAATGTGAATACAAATATGTTTATTGTTGAATTTTGTTTTATTATTCTGTGCCTTTAAACACGAGAAATAACTAGTATTATCATATTTCATAGCACTGAGCCACCACTAAATATTTTCTTCTAGGGCCTCCATATTGGTTGGACCGCCCTGTCATGACCTTGCATGTTCATAATAATTATGAATTATGACATTGGAAATTTCCTATTTATTACGTTTTTTTTTCCCTTCCTCACTATCACTTATTACAGTTCATACGCAGTTGAGTTCTTCAATGATTCATTAATGACCCATTAAATAGTGCATGCATGAAAATTGATAAATCGGTGGATCATAAAATTCTGATACTGCAGTGTGGCATTTCTAGGATACAAAACTATGAGAATTTGATGTAAAATTTACGTAAAGTTTCGTAGAGATTTTTTCAGCAATTTTCAGGAAGATAAACAGAAGTATCAGCAAAAATGGGAGTACTGAGAGATAAAGTTTCAATTCTGTTCTTGAAGTTTGGTTGATGGGTCATTCATGAAGGCTGTGACACGAGAAATAAAAGAACCAACCGACAATGGTTAGGACAAGTTATTGCTTGGCCATTGCTGAAGTGTTGATGTGACCATTACTTGGTTAAGTCACAGACAATTAATCAAACCTTTGTGTGATGAAACTACTCGATTATAGGCAGCAAAGTTAGAAAAAATAGAAAAGAAAGAAAAAGAAAAGGATCATTGTGGTAAGTTATCTCAGCACAGTTGGATTAGTCTCCCTCTCAATTGAGAATCAATGTGACCTCACAATGATAAGAAACAAGCTCAAAAAAAGTTCACCAAACAACATATGGGGTTGACAAAGCCCCCCCCCCCCTCTCAAAACAAACACAAAAATATTCGGTATTCATTAAGTACGACAGTATCATGTGGTGTACATCATCCATAAAATATTGTCCATTTCCCATCAATTGCAACCTCTTGTAAAGTTATCAGATTTTTTTTTTTTTTGAAATCATCAATATGTTTGTCCCACGAGCAAGTGTTTTAGCAATATCTCATTGGATGTGAGCACCACATTATTACTACCAAGTGGTGCCCTCTAAGCACCAAATATTTTCTCCACTCAACCCCCAATCCCCACTCAATCCCAACCCAACCCAAAAAAGGTAAGGAGAAGAAAGAGGTGGGATGATATCAGCTTCATCACCAAAGTGGATTGTAATAAGAAATTCATGAGTATTTACACCACCCCATTCAAATACACTGCTTATTTACACATATCATTATAGGATATATATTTGCTTGTATTATATATATTTTTACATAAATCAGTCTCTTTGTTTTCCTTTCTCTCCATTGAACAAACACACTCATTTTTCTCAGGAAAAGGGGGAAGAACAGAAGTTACCCAAGTAAGGCTTCTAATTTTCTAGAGAGCACAAATTGAAATAATTACAACATCTACCATACGAGTTTCCTATCATTTCGGGATCTGAAAAGCAGCGTCAGGTGTACAGAAACAAAGTGATGGTAAATACCTAAACATTAGGCAATCCTTCATGTAGGAGACTTAATCTTTTCTTGAACAGGTTAGGAGGGCTGTGGTCTGGTGGGTGAACAAATTTGCAATTTGGACATGAAGGAGAGGACTTGCACATTATCACCAACATGTGACAGTTCTTGCACACAGCCGTCACCATCTCTTGGTGATCCCCTTGATCAAAGGTTAACCACGATGGAAACCCGCCGGAGTTCTGATTATTTCTGCTGGAGGTCAGGAACTGATCACCGGAAATGTTTGAGTGGCTGTTGCTACCAAAATTACGGTTGAAATTTTTGTTGGGAATAGGGTTCTTTTCAACTGATCCGCATGGTAGGTTAAGCTCTAGGTCTAAGCTCATGTGGCCTGGACTTGGTGGCTCTGGACTTGCCCTTGGATCCCTTGATGTCCTTTTTAAGGTTCTTGTGTTGTAGTAGTATATTAGCCCAGACTGCACTCAAAGAATATAATCGATCATATGGTTACTTATGGCTTAAAAATGTTACTTATGACTTACAAAAATAGAATCGATCATAGAATATTAGAATTGATTTCAAACAACACAATTTATCTTAAACTCAGTAAATTGAGTAAGAGCATCCTTCTTATTTTGTAATAACTTTAAAGTACAATTCCAAAAAATTAATTTTTCAATATATATTTATACAAATAAACACGTGTATACATATACATAGTATCGTGGTTGAAGGTATACCTTGATGTCCAGGCAACGCTGCCACTCCAAAGGCAATGGAGTCTCGAGGTTAATCTCAGTGTTGAATATATATTTCATGCTTTTGGGATTTTGAGGCTTTTCAAACACCTCTTCAGCTTTTGAATCATCCCCCTCCTCTCGTTTCCTCTTCTTCATTGAATCCTCCAACCCTTGAATTATCTTTCTTCGACTTGGTAAGCTGGGTGTGTGAAAGGAAACCATGAATGATCAAACGCAAAGAAATGATCACCTCTCTCTCTCTCTCTCTCTCTCTCTCTCAGAGTATTTCTCACTCCTCAGAGTCTATATCTCGTGGAAATGGTGAATATGTTGTGGGGGGTTATATAGGAGAGAGAGGGAGCTATATGGACGGGCAAATAACTGCAAGGAGGATCTAAAAGGGCAAAGCTTTAAATGTGGAACTAAATAGGCCCATCACTCTGTGACGTGCTCTTCAAGTGAAGTTCACTTTGCAATTACTCTAGTCTACATAGCTCAAGCTCCTCTTAAAAGCATGGATGTTAAGTCCTAACCAACTCTCCTTGATCGAATAGGCACTATGCTATTCATATAGACACTAAGGGCATGTTTGTTTTGAGGAATGTTATGGAACATATTGAAAAATGTATTTTTTACATTTTTAATATATATGAAAATTAGTATTAATAATAGAAAGTATTTTAATCATCTTCAATATTTGTTATTAGTTCATTAGGTATTATAGTGGGTGCCATAAATAATCATTTATTCTATATACAATTTTACCTTTAACATCATTCATTTCATTACTCTATTCCAGATGTATGAAAAAAAAATTGTTAAAATTTTTTTAAAAAAAAAATCAGTGACACCGTACGCTTAAACATAATATAAAAAAAATGTAAAATAATCTTATAAAAAAAATTTAAAAAAAATGGTGACACTATATGTTTAAATATAATACAAGAAAAAATATAAAAAATCAGAAATTTTGTTTAAAAAAATTAATAAAATTAAAAAAAAAAAAAAAAAAAACTCAGTGACAACGTACGCTTAAACATAATACAAGAAAAAAAATTCAAAATTAGAAATTTTTTTTTAAAAATTAATAAAATTCAAAATTATAAATTATTTTTAAAAAAATTAATAAAATTAAAAAATAAAAAACCATTGGTGTCCAAAATCTCATACTAACATTAAGGGTCGAAGGACAATTCAATCATTAATCTCCCTAATACCATTGGTGGCTAAAAATCTAAAAAATAATATTATCTCCTAAGTGGTATTATATAAGCCCATGTACATATGTTTTGATAAACTGTAGCTAGCAAGTTGGTATTGCAATCCAAAAAATAATACCACCCGAAAAAAGAAAAACAAACAAGGTATTACTAGGTCAGATACAGTTTGTTCACTTCATACTAGGCTCATTTATGCTTAAATAGCAATGTTATGTAACCAAAATGTGCATTCCAAATGAAGGGGACCATTGGATCACTGAGTCTTTATTTAAAAAAGTTGATGAGACTCATTCATTCAATGATCCCCTTCATTTGGGATACAAATTTAGGTTACATCGTATTTTCCATACTTAAAACATGGATTGTCTTGTGTAAAATTCATATTTGGTCAGATACAGTTTGTGTTGTGTTTGATGTAGTTCGTGTCAACCCATAAATCAAGTGGGTTTGACAAGTTCGATGGATACAATTGTTGAAATTGCTAAGGGTAAATTAAAACCGTTAATTATGTGTGTGATGTTCGCGAGTTATGTCTAGTAGTGTTAAAGCCTACTAATTGTTTGCCTACATAGTTGATGACTAAGGCTTCGCTTATTTAGCTCCATCACTATGACTATCCAAGTCAGGATAGCCAAGCCAAAACAAGAAGCTTCCATTCTTACAATTGCATTTGTATAGGCGGTGAGAGAGAGAGAGAGAGAGAGAGAATGCAATTGTCATTAAATGGGGAGTCTCTGCACAGTTGAAGAAGGTCATGAATGCCTATCGATCTTTAATGGATATCATAACTCCAACTTCCACAGTTGTGTCACTCACAGAACCAAAACTTTAAAAGTAATGTTATATGGATCTGAAGACTTTATTTAGAAATTTAATGATGCGGCTTCAATACATTATATTAGTTATCAGTTCTAATATTAGTTGAAGTCCACAACCAATCTAATAATTGTAAATCATTAAATTCTTAAATAAGATCTAAATAATATTTCGCAAACTTTAAAAGCCCTTACCACCCTCTGCCATTAAACAAGAGACAAGTCTTATTGACATTTAGTTTATTGATTTAATTTGTTGATTTAATTCATTATAACCATTGGATTGATTATAGGTTCTATCACATTAAGTTTGCAAATTATGTCAGATTTTTAACTATAAATAACATCACTCATAAAAAAAGTTCATATCCCATGAGCTTTGAACTCAAATAATAGTAGAGACAAACTATAAATTCAAACGTGCTGAATTCGAATCTTAATATTCTCTTAGATTCAAACTATGAGGGATTTATCCCTCATAAATACCCTAATGTTGAAATGGACGGTCTGCCTTTGGCCAACCGAAGAGAAGATTAGTTGAAGTATGCATAAATTAGTTTGAACACCTCTAGTAATTAAACTTTAAAAAAAAATGAAAAATTGGTCATCATCCTGCATTGAACTACAAAAAAAAAAACTTTAAAGGCTCACAACGGCCCTCAGCTATAAATTAAAAACAACCACATTTTTATGACCCATGAATTTATGTCTCTCTCTCCCTCTCTCTCTCCCCCCCCCCCCCCCTTTTCTTGTCTCAATATTTTTAAAGAAACCAAATGCCTTCAACTGAACTTTAATGTCCCATAACACCCACTATGTCAACAAGAATTCAAGTCTCTTTGAACTCTCACTCTATATGTACATGTAGAAATTACACTGATATTCTTTTATGATAAAATGAAATGGTCATATCATTCAGACATTTTACCTCTATGCATGGCCATACTTGGCGTGCTCTTTAATTTCTTTGGGTGTTTTGTTGATGAGCAATACTATTGGAACATAATTTAAAAACATAACTTGAAAATTTAATGATTGTGGTCATTAAATTATCAGTGGGTCTCATCATTAAATTATCACTGAATCTCAACACTATCAATCTAATGGTTATAATGCATTAAGTTCCCAAATTATGTCCCTAAATTATGTTCCAATAGTATTAGTGTTTGTTGATCCATGCTTAAGCTCGGTTTAATTGCAACTACCCGCGCTCAATTGTCTGTCTTAGATTCTTACTTAAGCTTGACTCAACATAAGCTTGCAAGCATTTGAGTCAAACACGAGCTAAAATTGAGTTCGACTTCTCAGCAAAAAATTTCAAAAATCTAACCTTAAAACTTGATACTCAATCCTAGAGCAATGACCTCGTAAACAAATGTCTCAAGATGCATGATCAACCATATTTAAAAGTTTTCAAAAATCTATTAAAGAAGAGAGAGAGAGAGAGAAAGATTGGTGAACTCTACTAGTTCGTCATCAATGTAACATTGTGTTACCAACTAATTATAAAAAAACAAATAAGATTAGTGAACTCTACTATTTCAAAATGACAATATTAGATAAAATGATTATTGGCAGTTACTAAAATATAGAAGTCCACTAAGTCCATTTAGTATTCTATCATTAGTTAGAGACATTACGTGACATTAATGATGTGATCACCATTACATATTTTCTCAGGAGAGAGAGAGAGATGCATATCCTCTAAAGAAATTTGAAGTGTATTTGATATTGTTTACGTTTTCAAACACGAGGGATGTTCAATATTAAAATTAACAGCATTTCTAAGCAAAAACCTATACCTACGGAGCGACTCATATATTACTCGAATTCAGCTTGTTTGCACAACAATCTCGGAAATCTAGTCAGAGTTCCTACAATTTGTGTTTTAAATGAGTCTCAACCAAGCTCAAGCTACTCAAATCATTTAACAGACATATTCAATATAATATCTAGTTTTGTCGGGTTAATAAGATTACTTATCTCCCCCCAAAAAAATGGAAATTGCCATCTCATTCTCTTGGTTATGTGCTGGTGCAAGGATTCAAGGGGTGCTAAATTACAAGATGAGGGGTCGGTTTCTCTGAATGGGGAAAGTGCTATTATATACATTGGAGACTGCGTTTTAACCAATATGGGGGTTGGTCTATGGCCATGCTCACCAACCACATAAATTGTGAAAGGCACTCAATAAGTTAGAAAGCTAGTTGACACAACACCCAACCCTTGTTTACTGTTAGACTTAAAACAGTAGCATCTAAAGCACTTTGCCAATCTATGGATATTTTTGTAAGCTACTCAGTTATACTGAAATTGACGCATAGTAGAAACAATAATGCTATGCTGACCAAATTTTGAGATTAAATTTAGAGCACAAATAACATGACAGCATATTATTTGGAGTCTTTATTAAGATCAAAATGACATAGCACCAAATAAAGAAGTCCATGTGAGCTGTCATGTCATTTGAACTCTAAATTTGATCCCAAAATTTAGTCAGTGTAACATTACTGTATTAGGAATAGAGAGAAAAACCAAGGAAAAGGAGGGCCAAAGCCATAAATACACAGAGTTACAGAAACAGGTATATACGCACATATACATGTATGTACATATTACAGACACAGACATATGTATGTATAGAGAGAGAGAGGGGGGAGAGTGGTGGAGAGGTTTATGTAAGGCTACCTGCCTTCATTAACTCATCTTGAATTCACTCTAAATTCAGAATTCAAGGATGAGCATTGAAATACCTCGCTCTCTACAAGAAAACATCATTCTTCGTCACTCTCACCACCGGTTTCTGTTAAATGCCTCAACCCACCTCCTCTTCCCTTCATTTATGTACCCTGCGCGCTCTCTCTCTCTCTCCATATGTGTGTGTGTGCGTTTGTGTGAGCTCATGCAAAGCTGAAAGCACAGTATATATATCATGAGAATGACTGCATGAAGCCAGTCTCGTAGCAATCTTACTACATCTAGGTTGAAAAAAATGGTTTTGATAAAGTATTTTGGAGCAATTTTGAGCCTTAAATAAAAGTGGGATTCGCACCTCAAAATTGATAGGACCAAATTTAAATAAGTTCTCTTCCACGATGAGATTAACGTGGTATATTCTCATATCCAAAATTATTAAGTATTGAATGAGAAATTGTATCTCAAAGCAACCTACGTAAATGTGATGGGC